AGACATTATCACGCATGAGCCAGAAATGCACATTTCTGGGCAGAAATAACAAAAAAATACCATTTTGTATTCAGAACAACTAAGTAATCCAATGCTTGGCTGCCGTGGCAGTTATTAAATTACATGTTAACGGTTTGTACCGAATCTCGGCAAAATTTCTTCGACTGTTGTGTAACAGGAGCAAAAAATCTACATTTTTAGTTAAAAATAGCTCCAAATGCCACAAAACTGGAGACAAAATGAGATTCCTCCATGCATACACTAAAGATACTTCAAAATGGTCAGGAAATAGACATTTTCCCACAAGTCGCCCTCTATTGCCATCTATGAAACCATTTAAAAGTACTATCTCCTGCGTTGCTAGGGAGGTATATTTTCCCTAGCAACGGTTACCATAGAAACATAATATAGATTTCCAAGGCCCTCTAAATTACTAATTTTTCCTCCAATAGAAGTTTTCTTCAAGTTTTCCATATGGTGTGCACTCCATTTTGCTGGGAAAGCAGCCAAGTGCCCCCTTAGCAACGGCCCTACAACGGTTTTCCCCACAGAAGGCCTTTGGGAGTAGAACTTTTATACACTCATATCTCCGGATAGAATAGACGGATGTTTATGATTTAAATCTTGAAATGTAGGAAATGATGCAAAAAGTCAGATGAATGCATGCAGCAGGCTCAAATATGTAATCTGAATACTTGACAGGTTTTGAAAAGTAAACATTCTATTTTTTACCAATTTTTACCAAAAATTCGAATTTCGAAAGCTCATAACTTCTTGTAGAAGTGACATATCGAAACAAAATTAACATTTTTGTAATCCTTGGTTCCTGTTTTATCAGTCCATGAAGCTACATTGAAAAATATCCATATTTGATTATTTACCACTCCCCTTTGCATCATAAGTGCAAAAGGAAGCGGTTCATATGAGGTCAAAGTTCAAGGTCAGATAGCAAGGTCAAAGCTACCAATGTGCAACGGCTATCATATCAAAAAATATTCCACAGACACCCTACTTTTCGAAAACCATGATGAGAATTTGCCACCTCAGGTGGTACCGATATCTCCTCTGGCCCATGGACTACAAGTACAACGTGTTGTGAGTACGGCAAACGCGTTCGTAGCAACAACCTTAACAGCGCTTCAGCGTTTTTGTAAAAATCCTCTTGGTAAGAGAGAAATATTGCGTCATTTTTATATGCAGACACCAGGCATCTCTTACCTGCATTTCTGTACACACAAACAACGCAAAAGCTGGCAGAAAAATAAAATTTTAGCATCTATTCCCATGCAGACCACAGCCCAAGCCGTCCCTAGCAACGGCCATAGCAACCAATCTACTGATTTAAGTGGATGACATTGTGTTAATCTTCAAACACTTATATCTCCTGATAGAACTGATGGATTTTTGAAATTTAAAGTTTACCATTCAGAGAATGTTCAGGTCTATCAATCAAAATATACCTTTCAAGGCCCCATAGGTAACGGGAAAATATGCATGATTATAAAATTTAATTTCTACACTTTTCTATTAAAAATTCCAAAAAGTATCAGCTTTTCGAAGCGCATTGTGCTTTACAACGGGTCAAAATTTATTTTGATATAAAAAGTGATGTCAGATACAGTAAAACACCTCATTTTTTGCACATTATAATTGGTTTTCAGGCACAATTAGCAGGTACTAGCTTCCTAATACATTGTTTTCTTGGAAAAGCATGTTGCCTAGCAACAGTTGCTAGGCAAAGGACAGTTCGCGATGGCTCCACCCCTGAAATTGTTTCTAGTGTCGTGTAGAACATTTGTGCCAAGTTTCATGCTTTTATCACCATTTGAGCAATTTTCGCACCGATCGCCTAGGCTATTACTACATGTCACAATAGCATGTTATGTTAACTTGCAAGTTACCTTCTAATACTGTTTTTCACTATCTGATGAATACTGTATACTGTCATGCAAACAAATCATGAATTAACTTAAAACTCGTCATACGTGTGCACGTTGGAACCGGGTTACTCCATGTTCCGTCAGCTTGGCACGTCGCTGCAGAAAAACCGTTTAGTTGGTATCCCGTGTTACAGGTGAAGGTGACACTGTTCGGGTAGGAGACCAAACCGGTAGGACTCAACGCTCCGTTAGTTGGTGCTGTTAGAGTCAGACATTGAACCGCTGAAATGGATAATAGAGAAAAAAAATCATATCAAAATCCTATCGTCATCGGCAAAGCCTCGTTGACTTAACATTTATTCCAATCAAGCATTTAGGCAGAAATGAAATCTTAAGCTCCACATATTGGTTGTGCCTACATTGTACTTTCAAGTTGAATCCGTGTGTCTTAAGTTAATATTGAATAGACGTCTGACCAGGGCACGAGAATATGCTCAGTAAGTGTAAGTTTTACTAAGGAACTGATATATAAACTACTCTATAAAATTATCTCACATATTTTAAGCTAGTAATATTCTTACGTGTGCATGTTGGAACAGGATTGCTCCATGTTCCGTCAGCTTGGCACGTCGCAGCAGCAGCGCCGTTCCGTACGTATCCCGTGTTACAGGTGAAGGTAACACCGTTCGGATAGACGTGTGGTCCGAGAGGACTTAAGGCACCGTTAGTTGGGGCCGTCAATGTCGGGCATGGTCTGGCTGAAATAGTCAATAACCTTTCATTACTTACATTAGAATATAAAATGAAGATGCACAAAAGGATGTATTTCAACCCATTACCGTCCATCGTGTTTATATACTGAATGATCACATCGTTACCTTTGAATATTTTGTATACTAACTTCTGAAAGCCTGTATACCACAATTAAAATAGGCATCATTGTATGTGACATATATCAATGTGCAGATTGTCTTACGTGTGCATGTTGGAAAAGGATTACTCCATGTTCCGTCAACTTGGCACGTTGCATCAGCAGCACCGTTCAGCATGTATCCCGTGTTACAGGTGAAGGTGACCACAGTCTGGTAGGATGTCGCTGTGGTACTGAGCGCACCGTTAGGCGGGGCCGTTAACGTTGGACATTGTCTTTCTGTAATATTTAATACTAATTTATCACGGTGATCTCATAATACATGTACTTTAGATAATTTAAATGACGTCAATATATTTATCCCAGTGCATAGAATGCCGTCTCGATTTGCTGGCAACCATGTTCTGAAAATTTAGTATAGCAAAAAAAAACACAGTTACCGATCAATACTTTCTTCACCATCTTGTGAAAGTCTGTTTACTATAATTATAAAGATATTATTGCGTGTAGCATTTCGCAATTTGTAAGTTTTTTTTTACGTGTGCACGTTGGAACAGGATTACTCCATGTTCCGTCAGCTTGGCACGTCGCAGCAGCAGCACCGTTCCGTACGTATCCCGTGTTACAGGTGAAGGTGACCCCGTTTGGGTAGGAGACCGCTCCGGTAGGACTCACCGCTCCGTTAATCGGGGCCGTCCGAGCTGGACATTGGACCGCTGCGATGAATAATATTTAAATAGAGATAATTGCTTTGAAATATTTATCCCGAAAGGCAAAAACAACACTTTACGTGTGCCTTCTGCTGTTTGCCAAAGTTGAAAAAAGGGCAACCCTTATTCTTCTACTAGTACAATGCTGAAATGTCGATATACTATAATTCGGAATTCGGTAAAAATTACTACAATAACATATTGTGTTAACTTGCAATTTCCCTTCTAATACTATTTTGCTATCTGATGAATGATGTATGCTGCATGCAAAAAATTATTGATTAACTTAAAACTCGTCTTACGTGTGCACGTTGGAACCGGGTTACTCCACGTTCCGTCAGCTTGGCACGTCGCTGCAGAAAAACCGTTTAGTTGGTATCCCGTGTTACAGGTGAAGGTGACACTGTTCGGGTAGGAGACCGCTCCGGTAGGAGTTACCGCTCCGTTAGTTGGTGCTGATAGAGTCAGACATTGAACCGCTGAAATGGATAATGGAAAAAAAATCATATCAAAATCCTATCGACATCGGCCAAGCCTCGTAGACTGGGCATTTATTCCAATCAAGAATTAAAAATCTTAAGCTCCACATATAGATTATGCCTACATTGTACTTTCAAGTTGAATCCGTGTGTCTTAATATATTGAATAGACGTCTGGCCAAGGCACGACGACATGCTTAGTAAGTGTAAGTTTTACAAAGGAATTGTTGTGTAGACTACTCTATATTTTTAAAACATTTTAAAGCTAGTAATGTATTTACGTGTGCATATTGGAACAGGATTACTCCAAGTTCCGTCAGCTTGGCACGTCGCAGCAGCAGCGCCGTTCCGTACGTATCCCGTGTTACAGGTGAAGATAACACCGTTTGGGTAGACGTGTGGTCCGAGAGGACTTAGAGCACCGTTAGTTGGGGCCGTCAATGTTGGGCATGGTCTGGCTGAAATAGTCAATAACCTTTCATTACTTACATTAGAATATGAAATAAAGATGCACAAAATGAATGACGTATTTCAATCCATAACCGTCCATCGTGTTTACATACTGAATGATCACACAGTTACCTTTGAATATTTTGTATAATAAATTGTGAATGCCTGTATACCACAGTTTTATAGGCATTATTGCTTTTGGCATATATCAACTTGCAGATTGTCTTACGTGTGCATGTTGGAACAGGATTACTCCATGTCCTGTCAGCTTGGCACGTCGCAGCAGCGGCGCCGTTCAGCATGTATCCCGTGTTACAGGTGAAGGTGACCACAGTCTGGTAGGATGTCGCTGTGGTACTGAGCGCACCGTTAGGCGGGGCCGTTAACGTTGGACATTGTCTTGCTAAAATGATAAGAAACGTGTTATTACCGAGGTCTACTCATTGACTGAAAATACTATAAATGTATCTTGATATGTGTACCTGTATAGTTGAAATACAGAAAGCACAAGCAATTCCCCCTCTGATACTCTTTTCACAATGTCATAAATGCGATTATACTACATTTGCTAGCATACATGAACCTTACATGAACCCAAGTCTTACGTGTGCATGTTGGAACAGGGTTGCTCCATGTTCCGTCAGCTTGGCACGTCGCATCAGCAGCGCCGTTCAGTACGTATCCCGGGTTACAGGTGAAGGTGACCCCGTTTGGGTAGGAGACCGCTCCGGCAGGACTCACGACTCCGTTAGTTGGTGCCGTTCGAGACGAACATTGAACAGCTGAAACGAAAAATACAACAGTAAAAAAAGACTTCCTATTAAACACGTAGCTAGAAATAGGAGTATATATTACTTTATGTCTCTACGTAATGTATGGATCTTTCATAACAGAAACTTGCAAGAACAGGCCCTTTAGATTCTCTGTACTAAAATATGAATGTGCACCAGCATCTACTAAAATGGTTTGCCAAAGTTCATATATATTATTAAAATCTATTTCCTTCTCATGCCCTCACCACTAGATTACATAATCCCTTGTTAAAAGTAAACTTGACCACGTTCCGTTATGTCTGTATATGTGTTCGGATAGGACATGAAGCCCCGATAGTTGGGTTAGTCTGGTTGAAATGGTAAAAGAAATCTTGACATATCATTTATTTTTGTACTAAAGATGCTGTCGATAACGTATTTTAACGTATGCCTGCATATCATATGTTAAATGCAGACAATATATATACATTCCCAATTTACAGTCTATAAAATGCCTGTATACTAGAACTCGATAGTTATTACTGCAACTAACAAATATCAACTTGGATATAGTCTTACGTGTGCATGTTGGTACAGGATTACTCCATGTTCCGTCAGCTTGGCACGTCGCAGCAGCAGCGCCGTTCAGTACGTAACCCGGGTTACAGGTGAAGGTGACCCCGTTTGGAAATGATATCACTCCGGTCGGACTCACGGCTCCGTTAATTGGGGCCGACCGAGTCGGACATTGAACGTTTGCTACGGATATTAGAAAAAGAAATATCTAACTTATAGGTAAAAAAAATTACAATACATAACCTGTACCTTCTGCTAAATAGAATAGATATTTTTGGCTGATGTATCAATCCTTAAATAATAGATATGCATTTAAATATAGACGTGGCTAGCGTAAGTATAGTTCTATTTTCCAAATCTTAGATACTAAAAGTGGCAATTCTCTTAATGCTGCTCAGTACAGTGTACTAGTGTAGTCGTGCAAAAGCATTTACTACATTACTCTACATGTATGTACCATTTATTAACTTCCAATACGTCTTACGTGTGCATGTTGGGACAGGATTACTCCATGTTCCGTCAGCTTGGCACGTCGCAGCAGCGGCGCCGTTCAGTACGTATCCCGTGTTACAGTTGAAGATGACCCCGTTTGGATAGGAGACCGCTCCGGTAGGGCTCACCGCTCCGTTAGTTGGGGCCGTCCGACCCGGACATTGAATCGCTACAATGAAAAGGACCAAAAACATCATCAATCATAAAAATAAAAGCGTTATATTTTAGGTGTGCTTTTGTTGATAAGTAGGGCACGTATGTCTAGACAATAAATGGATCTTTACGACTGAATCTGCAAGACAGACCCTTTAGGTCAATAAGATTTTATTACTGTAACAGAAGTTTTTCCTTATGCTAAAAATACAAACATGACGTCTCTAACCCATCACTATCCATCATGTTAAACCCTATGTCTGTGTACTACAATGTAATAGACATTTTTTTTTCATATAGAGCTTATTCACCACACGTCATCATGACGTCACCACCCCTCATGTTCCGTGCGACGCCATTTTGGGGTCCACCTCTACAGTGAGTTTCCAAGCGTTGAAATGGCCGACAAACGTTAGGTAAACTGTCCTTTGTCCTATTACACGAAGACTTTACCACCACTCATACCTCTCGTTACTGGAACAAAATAAAATCTGTTGGGATTGACCCGTTTTTGTTGAGTTTTGATCAGTCTGATCGAGACGGCGTCTACCGCCAGCGGAGTCCATTGACGCGACTAAGCTTGGTACTCACGGGGCAGAAGTTTTTACACACAGGATCGGTTCAAACCCTTTAAGAGTCTGAAAGCGTTTGATTTGATTTGATCGTTGTATCAGGATGTGTAGAGAATGTTGTGGGACGTGCAGTTTCGTGGTGAAGTACGTTGTAGACTGTCGGGATACGCAAAGGTCGCTATTTTGGAACAGCCCCGGACTGTGTCTGGATAATAACAACAAATGCGGGGCCATCGGCCGCCGACCGGCCGCCATCCACAGTCCGCACTGCCGCGACTGTGGCTGAACAAGGTGAGTGTTACAAGTTGCCAGGGCCCTGTTCTACGTGGACATTTACCACAGAGTAAAAGGACAGGTAGCTCCAACAGATACGTGGCCATGGCTACCCACGTTGACATCTACAGGCCCCTACGCCAGGGTAAAACACACCGATTTCTGATCAGCAAAAAAAGCCGATAAAAGCCGATCTTGAGAACATGAGACGTGGTCATGGAGCCAGAACAACCCCAAGGACAATNATTCACCACACGTCATCATGACGTCACCACCCCTCATGTTCCGTGCGACGCCATTTTGGGGTCCACCTCTACAGTGAGTTTCCAAGCGTTGAAATGGCCGACAAACGTTAGGTAAACTGTCCTTTGTCCTATTACACGAAGAGTTAACCACCACTCATACCTCTCGTTACTGGAACAAAATAAAATCTGTTGGGATTGACCCGTTTTTGTTGAGTTTTGATCAGTCTGATCGAGACGGCGTCTACCGCCAGCGGAGTCCATTGACGCGACTAAGCTTGGTACTCACGGGGCAGAAGTTTTTACACACAGGATCGGTTCAAACCCTTTAAGAGTCTGAAAGCGTTTGATTTGATTTGATCGTTGTATCAGGATGTGTAGAGAATGTTGTGGGACGTGCAGTTTCGTGGTGAAGTACGTTGTAGACTGTCGGGATACGCAAAGGTCGCTATTTTGGAACAGCCCCGGACTGTGTCTGGATAATAACAAACAAATGCGGGGCCATCGGCCGCCGACCGGCCGCCATCCACAGTCCGCACTGCCGCGACTGTGGCTGAACAAGGTGAGTGTTACAAGTTGCCAGGGCCCTGTTCTACGTGGACATTTACCACAGAGTAAAAGGACAGGTAGCTCCAACAGATACGTGGCCATGGCTACCCACGTTGACATCTACAGGCCCCTACGCCAGGGTAAAACACACCGATTTCTGATCAGCAAAAAAAGCCGATAAAAGCCGATCTTGAGAACATGAGACGTGGTCATGGAGCCAGAACAACCCCAAGGACAATGTTACGAACAAGAAGAGTGTTCAAAACGTAGATTGTGGCCCAAAACACGCAACTATCGCCAAGAGTTTGCATAGCGTACCATAGCGATAGGCACCAGGCTGCACCCCCTAATGGCGGACAATGCTCGCTGCCGGGGGAAGAGTCACGTGACCATCTGTGGTGAATAAGCCCTATAGTATATTACAACTTGTAGGTCGACTTACGTGTGCATGTTGGAGCAGAATTGCTCCAAGTCCCGTCAGCTTGGCACGTTGCAGCAGCAGCACCGTTCCGTACGTATCCCGGGTTACAGGTAAAGGTGACCCCGTTTGGGTAGACGTGTGGTCCGAGGGGACTTAAGTTCCCGTTATTTGGGGCCGTCAACGTTGGACATTGTCTAGCTGAAATTGTCAATAACCCTTCCTTACTGATATTCGAATATGTACTGAAGATGCACAAAATGATATATTTCAAGCCATGAACGTCTATTGTGTTTTAAATATTAAATGGTCACGAAGTTACCCTCAATACATACTACACTATATCGTGAATGCCTGTGGGTATACCACACATAGATGGGTATTGTTGAATATACATGCAGATTATATGAACTGGCAGGTTGACGGAACATGGTTGCTCCATGTCGTATTGATCCTCTTACGATAGATATGGATAGAAGAAGAAGAACTTTATTGTATGGCAATTGCACGTGGTACAATGTATGGCAAACTACATAAAGAGAGTAACAACGTAACAATAAAATAAGTGTGTTGAATAAGATCTAATGTCGAATAAAACATATCTAACATATCTATATCATAATTATTAAAATAATAAGGGATAGCACAAGTCTTTGATGAAGTGTTACAATCGAGTGGACTAATCACAAGTTGATATGGCCAAATTCTAAATACATAACGTGGCAGTTCTCCTAATGCTATTGCTACTACTGTAGGCGCACAAACACAATAACTACTCTGTTTACTCTATTTACCATTTTTAAAAACTTTCAATACGTCTTACGTGTGCACGTTGGGACAGGGTTACTCCATGTTCCGTCAGCTTGGCACGTCGCAGCAGCAGCGCCGTTCAGTACGTAACCCGTGTTACAGGTGAAGGTGACCCCGTTTGGGTAGGAGATGACTCCGGTAGGACTTATCGCTCCGTTACTCGGGGCTATTAGAGCAGGACATTGAATGCCTACTATAAAAAATAAAGAGAGAAATAATTGCCTAGGACGATTAAAAAAGGTGCAGTGTTTGGGTAGAGTTAAAGAACGCACCACACCTTTCGAAAGAAGAGTAGAGGCATGCCATTTTTCCTGCACGCCCTTTTACTCTGAAGTGTAATGTAACTAGTATAAAGAAATAACAGTATGGTATATTGATGAACAATTTAATGCTATTGGACAACACTGTAGCCAATACCACAAGAGAAACCTACTATCAGTTCTGCAGCCTAGAATTTCCACCCGCATTGCTAAGTGTCCATGCCAGGTTTGAGGGTTGAAGCGCACATAACGGGCATCAATGGGGTTGTCCAGTAGGTTCGTTACGGGTGTGTTCCTGTCCGTGTTTCCTGTAAAAACCTGGAAAGCAAAGGGAGAAATCGGGTAAGGGAATTTGACAGCCTTAGGCATTCCATAAAAGACCAACAATTTCCATTTTGTTTTAAGGCTTTATCTTAAAAAGAATATTTTCGAAAATTCAATATTGACGATTCGAGATGACGGATAGTTTAAACATACATAGCATCATTTCATGACGTCAATGGTGTTGCTATGGGCAACACACGATTAAGTAGACCTTAACATTCTATCATAAACACTTTTTGTTAAACTTACCATTAAGTTTTACGAGAAAATGGTTTAAGGCAATAAATCACATGAATGACGTCATACTGACGTCATATTACGCCATAATGATATTAACATTTTTTCATTATTAATTATTACTAGTACACCATCCTAAAATAATTTAGAGGCCATACAATATACTGTTCACGAGTTTTTTTTTGGGGGGGGGGCGAATGTGCCCCCCCCGTCCCAAATATAAAAAAGCCCAGTCTAGATAGGGTTGAGAAGTGCAGAATGTTTGACTATTTATAAGTCTATCTTTACGTTTGTATAATAGATACTATTCTGGTATAAAAATGACTGTTATATATATTTATATATCCATACATATATACCTTTTCTGAGTCATCGCTGTCTGAATATGTCGTCCAAATATTTCCATCTACACTGTACTGGAGTTTGTATGACGTCACCCATTGTTCAACAAGATCCCATCCGCCACCCTGGGTAATGGTGCCGGTGACGCGCTGCTCTTCTCCTAAATCCACCTAATATATATATATATATATATATATTGCATTTATCAATCCATGGCTTGTCTATTGCTGAATATTGGTCTTGAATACTAAAGGGGTATGTCAACTTACTATGTAAAGAAAGGAGTGGCAAATATACCTTTTGGATTGTCAAAAAAAGTTACATACCCCCCCTTTAATGATGTAACGGAATGGCATGAAATGTCTCCATGTAAGCACCGCGGCATTTCTAATATACCTGCAACCATTGATGAATGTCCCTGAAAAATGGTGTCCAGTCTCCGTAACCCCTGATTCCGTTTAGCCGTCCGTAGTATGGCTCGTGATCAACACCAGAGTCCGATGATGCTGTGATGCTGTCATCAGGTATGGCGCCGGATTCCATCCCAAGCTGAACTTGACAGACTGTAAGAAAAAGAACATGCGTTCTGAACCACTTGGTGTTGGATATCGTTGAAATGCCCCCTAAATAATTTTAAACGAGCACAACATATACGCGCATGACAACCTTTAGGGCAAGATTCCTAATGATAAATACTACATAAAAAACATACTAGTGCTAGGTATAGACGTATAGCATTAGTAGATAGACGTCCGGATGCCAAAGTTCAAATAGCAGAAGGGACAATCCTTGTTATGCTCTTATCACCACAGTGCTGGCGTGCAAAAAATGATATATGGTCGGATACACGTATGGTTCTGGTGACGTCAACATTGAACGTGGTTGTAAGAAAATGACTAATGCCCTCTTATTATGGACATCTATTTACTAAAGATGAACAAAATGTTGTCTTTTGGTACATGCCTGTCTGTCGTGTTCGGAATTGAGAAAACATACCTACATACTTTCCAATACTCTTTTTACCTTCGCCAAGAAGGTTATGTTTTCATTAGTGTTTGTCCGACTGTCCGTTTGTCCGTTTGTCTGTTTGTCTGTGAACAGCATAACTCAAGAAGATTAATACGCATTGTCACTAAACATGGTAGGTGGGAGGTCTTGATTAGACCTAGAAATGATTACATTTTGGGCCCCCTGGTGGCTTTTGTTGGTACTGCAGTAGAACTTCCGGTTTTTCATTCTCGCGATCTAGACATGCTAAGATCACTAATTATGGGAATAAGTGACATGAGTCCCCTAGCATCTTGTTCTGGAACTGCAGCAGAAGGATAACTGATTGACGGGTTGTGTTTATTGCTATGTGGGTAGCTAAAGTTATGCTTGACTGATCAGATGACGATTTTGCAAATAAGGAGCTAATTTGCATAATTAATAAGAAAATTCTATAAATCTGCTTCGTTCGATAATAGTATCATAAAACACGTATGACATGTAATTGAGAACTAGAATAACATCTGAGTACATAGATTATACAAACAAAGACCTAATTTGCATAATTAATGGCAATCTTTTATAATTTCATAGTTGTAATTGCTAGGAATTTCATACTTGCCGCATTTGGAATTTAAGTTAAGGTGAACATCAATAAAGATAACTTTCATAATATTCAGATTATGACCTCGTTTGCCTAATTAATAAGGAGGTGCTAGAAAACATTTTTTGTTAAGATAAGGCTGTCGTCGGGTGGAGAATAAGATCAAATGATGTAATCATGCAAATAAGGCTCTTATTTGCGAAATCAATCATTTAAATTTTATAATTCGTCAACCGGAAGGATTAATATCATTTGGCGAAGGTATGGGGTCGTAAAACTCTTGTTTGGTAATTTTTTCATGCTGCAATTTGATAGCCTCTGCTGACATATACGAATTTACAAGTCGTCTTACGTGTGCATGTTGGAACAGGGTTACTCCATGTTCCGTCAGCTTGGCACGACGCAGCAGCAGCACCGTTCAGTACGTATCCCGGGTTACAGGTGAAGATGATCCCGTTTGGGTAGGAGACCGCTCCGGTAGGTCTCAGCTGTCCGTTTGTTGGGGCTATCAGAGTCGGACATTGAACCGCTAAAAAAAACAAATAAAACATATCAAACAATGCCATTTGCTTAGTAAGATACATGAGTCTGAAGGAAGACTCGACATTTCATGCAATTTCATTGCTCTTTAGGTTCTATGTACTACATGAACGTACTGCAATTTTTTTAATTCAAAGGACTGCCAATGTATAGAGATCAACCTGTTATCTGTGCTTAAAAATTTACACGTTTGTAAATTTATTTGTCTCATGTTTTGAAATAATTGCCTCCTAATACTCTTTTAAATATATTGAGAATACAATAATGTATACTGCAATTGAATTGCTTTGCTTACGTATGCATGTTGGAACGGGATTACTCCACGTTCCGTCAGCTTGGCACGTCGCAGCAGCAGCGCCGTTCAGTACGTAACCCGTGTTACAGGTGAAGGTCACCCCGTTCGGGTAGGAGACCGCTCCGGTTGGACTCACCGCTCCGTTAGTTGGGGCCGTCCGAGCCGGACATTGGACCGCTACAATTGAAAGAGAAAACAAGAAGCCATAGGCGACAATCTTCCGTGAAGTTTGATATATTGCAAGAAAAGGAAGTAGCCATTGGCGACAATTCTCTGTGAAGTGTGATACTTTCTGATTGGAAGCCTGTTGCTGACCCTGGTGTTACCTTGCTGATTTGCTGGTTATATTTTTCTGTTGTTGTCTTGTCAATGGTGCTGACTTTTATCTTGTTCTTGTCCTGGCCTTTTTTGTGTGTGTCCCGTCATTGGTGATTTGGCTGTGTTTTTGTCCCTGGTGCTGAGATTGTTTCAACTGCTTTACTGTGTTGCGTTGTCTGTATGTGAGATCACACCGCGGTCCACACTTCCGGGTTAAGTGACGACAAAATCACGTCGAAAATGCTAAAAATCCGCAAAGAAGCATATATTTTCCCCATACAATCTTGAAACTATGCCTTTCTTCACTAGAATATCGATGTGTAATGGTAGAAAATAGCATTGTAGCGCTTATACCGTACAAAGAAAAATTGTTTACACGCGCGTCGGCTCAGTCATCTTAACGCTAGCGCTGCCGGCAGCGGACGTTTGCGTCAATATTCAGCGCCGTGTTCCCAGAGATTAATACCGGGAAACAATTTCTTATCTTGTTTGGAACGCAAAAACATGGATTTACGCTAATCTACTATGATTCAGGGTTATTTCTTTTACCTGCCATTATCTAAAGATGTGTGTGTTGTGTGTACAATCTACAGAAATGTACATCAGGTCCGATCATCCGATTTTCACGTTTCGGTTTTTTGGACTCGGTTCCTTAATGTACCGGTCCAAACCGGTCCGATTGAACCGGTACCCACCCCTAGTTGCACATCAATGAACAACATCCGGCAAAAGGATGATTGCCCCCAGTACATCACGTATTTTGGTTTGGCTCCTGGAATGTGCGAATGTGCTAAAAAATGACTCCGGGACTGTCTACAGGGAACGCTCGCATATTGCCCAACATTAGCGGGGGGACAGCGCGACTGGCCAAGCAACCAGTCGGCATTAGCACAGTCCCTGTAATTAATAACAGTTGCACATCAATCCGGCCGAAAGCATGATTGTGTAACACAGGCTACTTCTTCCTATACCGGCTCATACTACAAGACGCGTTTACAACTAACAAATCATAAAATTATCCGATCTACTAGTATGTGCGGTTTACCAGCCCCAGACCACATCCGACCACGAGGCAGACACATTGATGGGTTGCTCAAAAATATTGTCCATGTTTATAAAGAGCTGCTCCACTAACACTATGGAGCGGCCCAAACAAAAAAAAATTGGCCATGTGTACAGTTAAGCGGCCAGCATGCTCGTTGCTAGGACGACGACCGACTTACTACCGGTCACATAACCGGGCGACAACATTTCAACGACATGGGGATGTTTCAAAAATAAGCATTTACTCCAATATCAAAACAGCTACGGTAAAAGAAAAGACGTGCATCATCGCGGACATAATGCCACACCACATGCGAAATTACACAGAAATGCGACGTACGGAAGAATGCGTTTTGGCTGCGAACATCTTCCAAAAAGCTTGCCATCTCTTAAGCACGGGCAAAAACGTCTGGAACCACTTATCGGAACCTCACCGTACCTGCTTAAAGTTCCACCCCCACTGCTATTCCAAACAACGCGTTTTTCTGGACCATTCCAATTCGCCTCGTTATTGTAGGGGTGCGTGAGCAATATTACATAGACTGCGAAAGCAGCAACGGCAAAAATACACATTCCTGCATCAACACGGGCATGCCCGCAGACGGCGTATAAAATTGCGTGCCGATTACACAAAGAGAACCCAGTGTTTTGACTGCGAACACGAAAAACCAGCCGTTCACAACACTCCGTCTGGAGATCCTGACCTCCTTCACGGAGTAAAAACGCATCAAACATTAGCTAGAAAAGAAATCACACCACTAAATGTATACTTTCTGCTAAGTAGAATACCTACATAGCAGAAAGTACACATTTAGTGGTGTGTGGAATACGTACATATCGGTTATCTATTTGTTTAGACAGTAACCTGCAATAGAATCCCTTTACATTTTTTCCATATCCGTAAGTAGTTTTCCAACGTTCAAATGTTAAAAAGAGGCAATCCTCCTCATGCTCTCAACACTATAATATTAACTAGCATGTAGAAATAACGGTATGGTATACTTATTGATCAGCAATCATGAAACTTTGCTATAAGACAACACTTTAGCCAAATTGAATGCAACAATAGAAACCTACGATCAATGCTACAGCCTAGAATTTCCACCCGCATTGCTAAGTGCCCATGCCAGGTTTGAGGGTTGAAGCGCACATATCGGGCATCAATGGGGTTGTCCAGTAGGTTCGTTACGGGTGTGTTCCTATCCGTGTTTCCTGTAAAAACCTGGAAAATTGATGTATCGGGTAAGAGGGTTTTATAGCCTGTCAAAGTTCTTCCCTAACAATCTTAATATCTTTGACATTCCATCAAAGACAAACAATATTAATACTAGAAAGGCCAATATTTGCTTTGGAGCAAATACAGCGATGGGTTCACCACATTTTACGACGTCATGGCAGGGAAAGAATGAGAAACACAAGGGAAAACAATGATTTACATTGATATAACTATAATATGAAGTAACATACAACTAAAACAACAGTTGGATAGCTATTTCCTACTTTATTGGTTAGGATTTTTAATTGCATAATGCAAACTGTTGATTTTCAAAATAAATAAAAAAACGTTCATGCCCCGCATTCCAATGCTGGAGCAGGAAAGCTTGAAATACCTACCAAAACACTTGAATACAGACATACTGTCAGTATGGAAATGGTCTGTGCAGGTGTTAATCAAGTTAAATCCCAACAGCCAATCAGCAAGAAATGCTCTGTGCAGGTGGAAATGGTCTGTGCAGGTGTTAATCAAGTTAAATCCCAACAGCCAATCAGCAAGAAGAAGAGAGGAAAGCTGCATGCCTATTGGTTGATGCCCTGCATTCCATTGTGATGACTCATGCCAAATGTGGTTAACACTGCCCACTGACACAGTAATACATTTGCTATAATACAGCCAAAAAACTCAAATAAAACCATTCTAAAAGCCTGTATCACAATAATTTAAAAAACGCCTAGGGGTATTTGCCCACTGTACCTCCATACCAAATTTCAGGACCTTGGGCCCTAAAATGAAGAAGCTGAATCCATTTAAAAATGGCAGGAGGAGGAGAAGGAGGAGGAGGAGAAGAAGAAGAAACATCAGAAAAAGCAATATGGTTTCACCACACCACTTCGTGGTGTGGTGAACCCATAAAAAGTAAACATATTAATCTCATGACACGTACACCTGTATGATACCTACGTGAGGTTTTGTAAATCGAAAATATGACTAATTATTATAGGAGAGTTTGGAGAAAAGAAGAGAAAAATGGATTGAAGCCGACTAGGTTGGAGCAATACTTCGCGACAGAAACGCTTGTTTATTTGCAGACATGCATCGAAAGAATACTGGAACGAATTATTGACTGTTATATATATTTATATATGCATATATCTATAAACCTTATCTGACTCAACGCTGTCCGCATATGTCGTCCAAATAGTTCCATCTACACTGTACTGGAGTTTGTATGATGTCACCCATTGTTCAACAAGATCCCATCCGCCACCCTGGGTAATGGTACCGGTGACGCGCTGCTCTTCTCCTAAATCCACCTAATAGGCATAATTCATCGGCTTTCGTTAAAATATAATAATATAACAAAAATATAAAATATGAATAAATAAAAATATAACACAGGAGCAGAATTACCTGATAACACTTGACCATGTACGCTACGTAAAATTGAGACATCAATATATATTGCATTCAATTCATACGTTATCACAATTTCGGGTAATAAAAATATAAAAAATATGACATTTTAGGTTAGATAAACAACCAAATGTGACTGCTGCATTCTGCTGTGTTCTATTTCAAACTCCTTTTAAAAAAAACGGACTGTCTCTTTCGAATACGACAGTGGCGCCAACTGGAGATTTGTAATAGAATAGAATAATTGCTTTTTTAAATAAGCAGAACGATAGCATTTTCACCTGCAACCATTGATGAATGTCCCTGTAAAATGGTGTCCAGCCTCCGTAACCCCTGATTCCGTTTAGCCGTCCGTAGTATGGCTCGTGATCAACACCAGAGTCCGATGATGCTGTGATGCCGTCATCAGGTATGGCGCCGGATTCCATCCCAAGTGGAACCTGACAGACTGGGAGGAGTATGGTTAAGTCTGTTTGTGATATCCTGACATATATTGAATGTATTCTGAAGCGACAAATTTCAATTGCATTTACTGACAGCATGCAGCGCAATCACTGCACGGGTGGTGATTAGACAAAATAAATGCGGCCAATGAAAGAACAAAAACAGTTCTTGTCAAACATATAGATAAAAATGGAATTAAAGTTGATCAATTGTGCTCTTTGCTTTGATAAGCGATGTAAACGTAAATCATATGATTGGTCGGCGTCCTTTGGCTATGTGATGATGAGAATTGTGCTGTCTTCTTACATACTACATCACTGCAAAAATCAATCTGCAGTAGGTTTAACGTGTGCATGTTGAAACAGGGTTAGTCCAATATGCATGTTCCCTAAGCTTGGCACTTTGCATGGACACTGTTGATTACATGTGTTATAAAGGAATGGGGCACGACGCGCAAATGCACGACAAGCTGTCGTTCACAATTGATTGAATAGTGTGATTATGCTATTAAATGTATACAACCGCTGCATTATCAAATCAAAAGGCTCAGGCACTAGCAGTAAAGGACATGTTGCTAAATCACTGACTGTATTCTATTGTTTAAGCAGATTGAACAGTCAAAATTGGATAAAATAATTTCAAAAACCAGCATTAACACTAGAAAGGCCAATATTTGCTTTGGAGCAAATACAGCGATGGGTTCACCACATTTTACCACATGGCAGGGAAAGAATGAGAAACACAAGGGAAAACAATTACATTGATATAACTATAATATGAAGTAACATACAACTAAAACAACAGTTGGATAGCTATTCCCTACTTTATTGGTTAGGATTTTTAATTGCATAATGCAAACTGTTGATTTTCAAAAAAAATAAAAAAACGTTCATGCCCCGCATTCCAATGCTGGAGCAGAAAAGCTTGAAATACCTACCAAAACACTTGAATAAAGACATACTGTCAGTATGGAAATGCTCTGTGCAGGTGTTAATCAAGTTAAATCCCAACAGCCAATCAGCAAGAAATGCTCTGTGCAGGTGGAAATGCTCTATGCGGGTGTTAATCAAGTTAAATCCCAACAGCCAATCAGCAAGAAGTATAGAGGAAAGCTGCATGCCTATTGGTTGATGCCCTGCATTCCATTGTGATGACTCATGCCCAGACGTGGTAAACACGGCACACTAACACAGTAATACATTTGCTATAAAACAGCCAAAAAACTCAAATAAAACCATTCTAAAAGCCTGTATCACAAAAATTAAAAAAACGCCTAGGGGTATTTGCCCACTGTACCTCCATACCAAATTTCAGGACCTTAGGCCCTAAAATGAAGAAGCTGAATCCATTTAAAGATATGGCAGGAGGAGGAGAAGGAGGAGAAGAAACATCAGAAAAAGCAATATGGGTTCACCACCACTTCGTGGTGTGGTGAACCCATAAAAAGGTTCTGGGCTGATTATAAGTCCCAAACATGACTGTGTCCATATAACCCTTCATCACGGCTCATGACTGGAGTTAATTTTGATCCACGCAGCTTCCTTCATTATTCAAATATCGTAAAATGACTCGCTATCAACAAAATAGAGCTTTTGCATGCTGTACTTTTCTTCTGTATCAAAAGGTGGCGCTGTTGAGCCGGGGTACAGGCCATATATAAGTAGAAGGCCACACCCACTCTCCCACCCATATTAGTTGGATAAGTATGTACTTTCTAGCAGTTGCTTTTAGACTTTCGCGTTATCCTTTTTTGCATGTATTATGTTAATCAGTTTCCATGGACATCATTTTATGCATTTAGCCTATTGACATTAACATGCAAAAAATATTTACAAATAAAGAAAAAATACATTATTTATAATTGGATGAAACCGGGCCTTGAGGCCTAGAGGAAGACCCCCCAAAAGATGCGGGACCAGATAGTACATGACACAGGATGGTCCTCAAGTTTGCTAAACTAGTAATTAAAGGCTAATGACCGTGCTGCCTGGAAGGACAAAAGAAGAGGATCAGGTCTGGTCTAGGCATTTAGGCAGTAGGCAGCATGAAAGACAAGCAATGAAAATTGAAATTCGAGGTTTACCTTGCCCAGTCACCGAAGACGTCGTCAGTGTCAGCACCAGGACCATCAACCTCCAACACGCTGACGTACACACACCCGTCATCGTGTCTAAACATAAATCACCCATTAGAGATTGTATCATATCATTCTATACAAACATAAAAAAATCGTTAAATGACAACCAACAAAATAGAGCTTCTGCATGCTTCACTTTTCTTTTGTATCGAAAGGTGGCGTTGTCGACACGGAGCACCGGCCATGAGTAAAGCCTCGGTCACAACCCGCCGTACGTGCTTCTGCGTGCTGTCTACGTGCAAAAACGTGGGCAAACGTAGGGCATCCGTGCGTGGTGAGTACCACCTCCGTACGGAATCCTACGGATTTGGGAGCACGCAAACACGCCGTAGAACTTTAAGTGCATGTAAAACTTTTTTCTGCGTGCGGTTTACGGATTCACCACCCGTACGTGCGAGTACGGGCGACGCGCGTGCCCCGTACGTAAGAAGCACGTGTGAGTACGGCCTCCTTACGGTAAAGTTGCAATCGCACAGGGATCGTACGTTGTAAGCACGTACAACTAACTTACTTACCACTTGCGCAACGAACGGTGCACGCAATCGCTCATGGCCAGACGTGGCGTGCAGACCACACTCTTACACCTTGCGAAACCGTGTGAGTGACGCGCGTCGACGCCACTCCTTCCCCAAGTTTTTAGAAAAACGTAGCAGACGTAGCCTCCCAAAAAGCGTACGGACAAAAGCACGTACGGCGGGTTGTGACCGAGGCGTAAAAGACCACACTCATCGACTTTTGTTGATGGAATGTGGGAGGGAAAGTTAATATATAAACTGCAGGAATAATCACTATAAACAGAAATTAAAGTTCCACGAGCTCATTCTTCGCCAAATGATGTTGACTTTTGCGATTGACAACTTATAAACATTTCTCAAGCTCAGTAATCATGCAAAACATATCCTTATTTGAATAATTTGTTTTGGATTGTCCAAAGAAGAGACAATTGTAGCATTTCCTCAAACGTCATGCAAATAGAGTCTTGATTTGAATAAGTTATGTTTAATAATATTCGCTTCAGGTACCCTCCAAAAGTATAAAATTCCCATCAATCAGTGGAATAAGGGCATTTTCTCATTATTTATTCCAATAAGGTGTTCACCTAATTAATATGTGAATATGTCCATCTTGTTCTTAGTTCTGCAATGTTGAATTGATTACATGGATGACATCCTCTGGAAACCCCAAAACTGATGCGAGTGTGCGCATAGAAGAAAAGTTTGGCACAAAAAGGTGCCTTCATTAACCCTTCAAACACCCGAACTTTTTTGCGACGGACGGGGTCTAATGACCCCATTTCGTTTCTTTCAAATTTATATTCTTTTTTGCATTATTCAGTAATCTTTGCACATATGATTAAACATAGTAAGAGGTATATTTTGGCAAGATTAATTGTAAAAAATTCTAGCTCATTATCATAATTTATGCAAAAAATGGAGCCTGCAGGCATGAACATGGGGTTGACAAAGTCACGGGACAATTTTTTTTCGAATAAATATTTTCAAATAGCACATAAAACTAAACGCCCGGACCCCGTACGGGTGTTTGAGGCTTAAAAAATCTAGGTTGACATAAAGGTTAAATAAATCAGTTAACACAAAGCAATGTTTAAGTGACATGGTGAATAATAGACTCTTGATTTTCATTTCTTCAAATTTTTTGTCCTTTAGAATGGATTTTGGCATTTTGGCACTTAAATACTTACTCCTAGCCCCAAGAACTTCCAGCTACTGTAACACAAATATCAATATAAACCTTGCAATTTCTATCTCAAACTATCAAGTAACACTTCAGTACCATAGTTATATGTTGAACTACTACCAAACATGAATTACAATATTCCAACATGACAAAGGAACATTGAAAATGTTGAATGCCACTTTCTTATTACGATACATCATTTCACCTTTGTGTGTATCCTATAGCTAGACATCGAATGTGTTCATAATATGAAAAAATCAAGTTTGAAACGTGCTAATAACACATTGATAGTGTGTGATGAAATATCACTTGAACGCTTACATAAGTTACAAGTCAATACTTCTAACCGTCTCGATCGGAGAATTTTGACCACTAATGCTGCAAATTAGTTTTGTCTCAGAAGGTGGCGCTGTTGAGCATGTTTCGTCTAAATTTGAATGTGTTATTTTTGCCCTTACTTGCCCAACTACTTTTGTTTGACCTTGAGATCCGTGTGCCACTCCTACCAACGCGCGTGTTTACAGTTATTCCAGTAACCTGTGCATTAAAATCCGCCTTTGACTACTAAAACTAGACGTGCCGCATGTTTTCTCAAAAGTAACTAAAAATTGAATAAAGATCACTATATTGAACATATTTTACCCGTTTTAAATGTGTCAATCAGACAAAAGTCAGATAGTGAGTGGTTAGATGCTCCTAGCATTTTTTACTATTCCTTCTTGTGCTGCTAATACCACCCCTTTGTCTTGCTCTTGTTTTAACAAGGTCTAAAACGTCGCAGAACACATTATTAATGGTGAAGTCTATGACTTGGTATTTAACTCAAGTACATTTGGCCCGTGTAGGGCGTGAACCTGCAATAAGGTCCATTGTCATTGTCATTAAAAGTAGTATGGACAAAAGCCTGGCTAAAACATGTCTTGTGAGAGGTAGACAGGAGTAAAGCAGAGTGCTTTTGCTTCTGAAATGAAATAACTTATACATGTCGCAAGATGTAAAATTCCCATTATTCACCAATAAGGAATCACAGAATTTTCACATTAAGTATGCAAATTACATCATCATTTGCATAATTGATATCTGCTGATGTTCCTCCTGCCATAGATTACATAGATTGCATGTATAAAAGTACTATATGTAAAAAAACTGTAATCATAGAACTTCCTCTTTATTTATGCATTAAGTCTCATTTGCACAATTTCAATCAATCAATCAAATCAATAACCTTTATTTATACCCCTATTTATTGCGGGGGGGGGAGGTCACGGGAACACAATAAATAAGTAAATAAAATTCAAATTAATACAAAAATAAATTACTAAATACCTAACAATAACTAATAATCTTCTGTTTTGTGAATGGTCGCTACATCCTTCCTTCCAAGAAGCTGGTGTACCTCCTTAGATGGAGTTCTTGGCTAAAGACCTACATTTGTAGGATCAGTTTACCTACTCTATTCTGTATTTAATGATGTACATCTCTCTCTCTACATACCAAAAAAAAAAATGATGTTACTATCTTGACTTATCGACTTTTATAAATTTGGCCAGAAAGTCCCCTACAGTTCCAGAACAAACTGCCATGGGAACAAAACTCACACCACTTACTCCTGACAGGAAAAGGTATCTGACAAGAAAAAGTCAAGACCATAGCATGTTGAGGACAAAAGATACAAAAACCGGCAGTTCTGCTGCAGTACTAAGGTCAGCCACCAGGAGGCCAATATTTGACCTTGACGTTTGTCTTTCTATGACCTACCAACATACCAAAAACATTACAATCCATAAAGGCGTTATGACGTTATGCTTACCACAATATTGCTGAAGAACACACACACTCACACACACACACACACACACACACTCACACACATACACACACACACGCACACACACACAGACAGACACACCAAAAACAATACCTCCATTTTTCAAAGAGGTAATGAGATCTTTACTGAGGGTCAGTCTGGGCAGCCTTAGACCAGCAGAGTACATGTGTTCTGCCACCTAAATCCAACAACGTTTAAAGATGGCGCCATGACACCCGGGTGACAAACGAGCTGGAAGGAAAGTCTGCCTGAGGACAAAATGTCAATGGTTTTGTCCCAGTGCTATCAAGCATGAGCGCCGCAACCTAGGTCAAACGGAGGGGACTTAGTATCTGAGGGCACGCTGAGTGCACATTGTTTTCTGTCTGTTTTTTCCCAGGTCTTAAACAATACTCGACGATACATGGCATAGAAATGGGAAATTATTGCGAGAAAAGTAATCTTTTCAAGTATATTATGTATAAATTCGTGTTTGTTATCGTTTATTTGTTTTGAGTTGAAAGCTACCAAATGGAATTTCAGGGTAACAAAACCACACAAAAAAATATTACGGATGGGGGTATCGGTCTAAAATTGACATTGACTGCCATTGTTCAGAACATTTTCGTCATCATTCCGTCATTGAAGCGTTTGAAATAGCCCCAAAACAAGCCTAGTTAGGCATCTGTTTATTTTAGGGTATGCTAATGAATAGCTAGACCTGGTCTGTGATACAAAACAAGCAGCCGTTTTTCGTCAGCAAGATCACATTTTTGCCTAACAAATATCAGTTGTGGGGTAGGATTAATTCAACTTTATTAATATGATGACCAGAAAATTGAAATTGAAAATCCGTTTTTTTCCTCTCTGAATTGCATCGGATGTCTAAATCACTAGAGGAATAATACGATCTGATATTCCATCCTGCTTTTCTGCAAAATGGCTCATTCAATGATTGTTATATTGTATCCTACTAGTATATTGGCTTATTTAAAGTCTAATGTCAAGGTTATATTGTCAGTCAAGGGTCACTGTATGTCTAAAATTTATCACATTCCCTCATCTCCCTATAAATACTAATGCTATCTAGTTGACTAGTATCTTTGTGTCTATACTAAATGATATTGGAATTTTGAAGGCACTGAGCTAAGTATATACCAAATAAAAACAAAAGTCACAACCATGCTAGTACTTGAGTCACCTATAAAATGTATAATTATATGTCCCAGATACAACTAAGTGATATTGTTCCCTCTGGTATCCGTGTTGGATTCCCAAATGTTAACGTGGTCTCCATAGCTACTTACACTATTTAGAGACAAAACCCCGCAATGTGAACATGCAAAAAAAATTGAAGTCATTGTTTCTTAT